CTATTGCCTATTTACTTGCAGTCAGACGACATTTTTATAGGAGTTATTGTCCTTAAATGACGAATTTTACCTACTTATTGATTTTTTGCCTATTATCTTGAAAATTATAAAAGGTAGAAAGGAAATTTTTATAGCAAAAATGATCAGCAAGATAAGTTCTACAAATTAGTCACCATGGTTGAAATCGTCTGATGACCCCTTATTGGAGTTATTGCCCTATAATGACGACTTTTACTATTATTTTTTTTTGTGTTTTTGCTTAATATCTGAAAAAGTATAATAGATAGATAGAAACTACAATAGGTAAAAAATGATCAGTAAGACAAGATCTACAATTAATTCGAATAGTTTAAATCGTCTGACGACTCCTTATTGAAGTTATTGCCCATTTATGATGGCTCTGACCATTTTTTGCTTTGTTGCCTTATATCTGAAAAACTACAATAGATAGATAGAAACTTAAAAAGCAAAAATGATCAGTAAGACAAGATTCACAAATAAGTCAACATTGTTTAAATTGTCTGATAACCCTTATTAGGTCTTTCCACTTTTCCGTGGAATACCTATTGATTTTGTTCTGATTATTTTTTTGTTTTCTTCCGCCACTTTTATTTCTTGCGAGAAGATTTTATTACGCAAGATGTCGCTTAGATATTTGGTATATGATATCGAACAGTTGATACGCTTTTCAGACTGATACCGTTTAACTGAACACTTTTCTTTGTAGGAGTTATCTCCCCAAACACTGTTTTATTGTGATCGCTTCTCCTACGCAACTGTAAAAGAAACCGACAAATTTATTTTTTCCAAATTGCTCGTTATATCCTCAGGTTGTCGAAACAAATTTTGACTGAAGTGATCCGGAGACTCCATATGAGAGTTATTTCCCCTCCTGTATTTAATATAAGTGAAATGTAATAGAAACTCATAACCCATAAGTGCTAGGAACCTAGGGTCTTTTGACTTGAGGTTCTTGGTCCACCAAAATGAAATGAGGTCAAGGTCAAAGGTCAAGGTCATGTTCTAAATTTTGATTTTGGCTTACTTTGGCTATTCTTTAGAAACCGTATAAAATATCAACAAAATATTTTACAAAATAGTTATTTGCAACATGTCGCAGCACATAAATTTTGGTTGAAAGGGTACGTTGACATTTAATATGAGCTTTCTCCCCTCTTATATTTAAAATTAGCTGTGTGGTGATATAACTCATTAACCATATACAGAAGGGACCTAGGGTCTTTTGATTTGAGGTCCTTCCTTTATGACCTTGAAATTTAGGTCAAGGTCAAAGGTAAATTTGACGTTCTAGATGTTGACCTTTGCAATAAATTCATATTTAAACATGATGAAGCATAAGGTTGGTAGATGTATGACCTTGAAAAGGTTAGTCGGAAGTTACCTTTTGTAAACCGGAAGTAGCCATTTCCTGCACTGATTTCTTTTAAAATTCTATTTCCCATATTTCAGACAAAATTCATTAGAAACCATATATTTTTTTTATCAGTATGAAGAAACCTATGATTAACTTTAGAGCCTCTAGTTTATATTTCCACCTTTCTAAAATATGTTCCTTTTAAGACAATTGTTTGTCACCTTCTGAAGAGGTAATTATCTATCCAACCTAAAATAATTCCCTAGAAGGTTACACCGTATTTTCCTTATTTGAATATTAATTCCTAATGTACCTACAAATAACTAGAGGCTGTAAAGAGCCTGTGTCGCCCACCAAGGTCTATGTTCATCTTCAACAATGGACACTCTCCAACATTTTTGATTTGAATTAAATTCATGACAAAATCATTTTTTTTTTGTTGATCTTGTATTGCTGATAATTTTTTCTGTTTACAGTTTCTCTCTTTATCTTCTTTAGTTGTTGGCAAAAACACAAACAAAAAAGGTAAAAACTTGTCATTTAAGGGCAATCACTCATATATAAAGAGTATACTAACGATTTCGGCAAAGTTAAACTTATTAGAAGATCTTGTCTTCCTGATCATTTTTGTAATTTAAAGTGTCTATCTATCTTATAACGTTAATAGGCAAAAAACAAAAAAACAAAAATAAAAAGAGTAAAAATCGTCATTAAAGAGCAAAAACTCCAATAAGGAGTCAAATGACAATATCAGCAATATGACTTATATTTGTAGATCTTGTCTTGCTAATCATTTTTGCTCTTTAAAGTGTCTATCTATCGATCTATTATAGTTTTAATTGCAAGATAATAGTCACACAAACTAAAAATGGGTAAAAATCGCCATAATGATTTAAAGAGTAATAACTCCAATAAGGAGTCGACTGACGATTTCGGCCATTAGACTTTTTTGTAGATCTTGTCTTGCTATATAAAAATAAGGAGATGTGGTATGATTGCCAATGAGACAACTATCCACCAAAGTTCAAATAAAGTGGATGTAAGCAAATATAGGCAACCGTACGGCCTTCAACAATGAGAAAAATCAATACCGTATGGTCGTCTATAAAACTTGAGGCCCCAACATGAAAAATATGAATTATGAGAAAACTAACGGCCTAATTTTTAACAAAACAATTTACGAAAAACAAGTATGACAGACATGAACCAACGACAACCACCCGACTTGGGACAGGCACATACAGAATGTGGCGGGGTTAAACATGTTTGTGAGCGCTCAACCCTCCCCCTAACCTGGGACAATGGTGTAACAGTACAACATAAGAACAAACTATACAAATCAGTTGAAAAGGCTTAACTCATCAGATGAATACAAAAAGAAATACATCTAACAAAAACACAGAGTGGACGTGTACGGGTACGTATACCTCCCAAAAACAAAAAGACACTAAGTACAGATCTGAGAGTACTCGCAGTTACAAAGCCAATAACAACCAATGAAAAAAATCATGCATCTAAGACTAAAATATCAATCAGTACACATCCAACATCCAATGGATTTAGTTTAAAGACGTCATTAACAGTCAGAGAAAAACATGACCTTGTGCAATGCCAAACTATAGGTATCGACAAATTGTAGTACCGTGAATGTACATATGTGTAATATTTAGTTTGGTTTTAATTTACTTATAACAAAATCAATATTTATACCAATAAAAACAAAATTCAAAGATTTAATTACAGTGTTGAATAGGTAACCTTTTAAAATAAGTTTATTTAAAGGATTGATAAGTTTACCCGGATCGTATCTAAATTTCCGGGCTCAGTTTACAACATCACCGTAAAATTTAGGATGCGCTATTCCGTTTGAAATAAGTTTTCTACAGGTACAGCCAAACTTGCAGACCAAATCTTAGTATATATGAAAGAATTTTGTAAAGGTTTTAAGTAATTTATGGTAACGAAATCCTTGACTTAATAATTTACTAGTAATACATAGATTACACTCATTAATATAATAAAATCCAAAATGTCATTATAGACACGGGCATAGCGAACGAGATGGGATATATAAACATCGCAGTAAGACGGTGCCAAAGGAACATCACCGTCCAAAAAGGGAAAATTAAAAATTGCTGGTCATTTTTGTAATCTTAAGTTTCTCTCTATCTATTATAGATTTCAAGATAAAAGGCAAAAGTGAAGAAAAAAAAAGAAGGTAAAATTCGACATTTAAGGGCAATGCCTCCTATAAGAAGTCGTCTTACAATTTTGGCGTAAATAGACAGTAGGAATATCTCAACATTCTACATTTCTGTCTGTGTCAGATTTTTTCAATATTTATGGCTGTTTTCAAGATAATAGACAAAACTTGCATTTTACTCCTATTTTCTATTTTTAGTCATGTTGGTTGCAACTGACACACTTTTTAAACCTAAAAGTAGATATACCCCAATGACGATTAATTTAATTGCGGCCAAGTTTGATTAAATTTAGCTCAGTTGTTTCAGGGTTAACATTTTTGTAAAATTAAACGGACGACGGACGACGGACGACGGACGCCAAGTGATGAGAAAAGCAATCTTGTTACTGATAGTTACAATGGAAACATAGCTTGGTGAAAGAATGTAAGATCTGTGCTTGATAATGATTAGGAATTTTCAAGACACTACTTACCTGCTACATTTATATTTGTTTGCATGTGACTGTAGGTAAATTTACGCTTTTGAAAATAGTTATGGCACTTTTAATACATATGAATTTTTAAAAAAAATGCGCTTTTTGGTATATTTTTTAAACTGTCGTTAGACTGTGACAAATTTATTTATAGTAAAGGCAGGTTAATTTGGCTTTTCCTTGAAGCTTCGTCACATACAATCTGGGACTATTATACTAATATTAGTATAATAGTCCCAGAAACAATATAATACAATACGAAACGATACGAAATGATACGAGACGAGACGAGACCGAGACGAGACCGAGACGAGACGAGACAAGACAAAATTTTGTTTCATTTGAATAAAAATATCCCGGATACTGAGCAAAGTTGAATATTTTTTTTAAATACCAGTATAACAAGCTTCTAATGCAATTGTCTCAAGAAATAATGAAAACAAGACAATATGCAGTTGCATTTATATTTCAAATATCATAGTTAAACAGATATCAAGTTTTTTTTAATGTACGATCATGTAGTTTTTCCAAATAGAATTTTATTTAGTGTATGGTTACCTACGTAAATAAACTATTGACTGTGATACCGTTATCATAAAAATGATTACTGCCTCATGAGGGTCACATCGTTTTTATATTCTGTTTTTTTTTATACCATTTTTCTCTCATTTTTTATTTATTTTTCGTATTATACTCTATTCTCTATTTTTCTCCTTCCTTCCTTTGTTTTTTTGTTTTTTACTATTTGTCTCTATTCTTTGTCCCCCCTTCATTGTGCACTTTTTGCCCATTATTATCTATTATGTAAACCCAATCCAGACCCTCCTTCACTAGTTTACATACATTCTTTACCGCATTTGGTACACGAATGTGACCAAGAATGTTTTTAATTTTATTTTTACAACTGGTTTACGAATTTTATAAATATATTGCTCGTTGATCATAGGAAATAGCAGGAACAGTCGACCGCCGATTCTGGAAAATGCAGACTACAGGCGACAATATTGAATAGTTTTTTTCACCCGCTGAATAGTATAGAAAACCATTAAATGTAGCGTCAAGTCCTCTGTTTTTCAACTGTTTGTGAGAAAGTGTATGGACTTTTATTTTAGACAAACGTTTATGTTACAATTTAACACTTCAAAATGAGTCAACAAATTTCATAATTTTGTGTGAAATAATTATGTGTAGGCAGTGGCAGATGAACGACTTTTGAGTAATGATAATTGTTGGTGTATTCAAAACTTCTTCTACTTCTACCAATAGGCGGCCACCATCAATAAGTTGATTATTTTGCCACTTTTTGGATGCGCATTTAAAATTTAGACAAAAAATAAATATTGAATTGTTTTGAATTTGTGCTATACATCATATATACAGTGAATTTCAAAACATCTTGGCGTTGATCTAGTTCATCTCATGCAGGTAAGTCTTGAAGCATTCAAGACTACCTGTATTGGTGGCAGTATGTGCTATCTTCTTCATAAGGGTAACTGACAGTTTGTCGTGTATCCTAGTCCAAATAATTGATATGTCATTCAGGGCTCACACCACTTCAGAATCATAGCCTATGACATAGTCATAGGTAGGCCAAATAATTATGACGTCTTGAAAGGCTCAGGAAGGCATCAAAGAAAAAATAACATAGCCTTTCAGTTTCAAGAGACACAACTATTTGGACTAATGACATAGGGAGATGTTTGTTTTTTACAATAACTTAAACTTAAAGGGCCATATGTACCCTATTTATTTAATTATTTTTTATATTGTTCAATTCATACCTGCTAATACAATTAAAGTAACATGAGTTGTTTCCATTTATGTATTAAACAAATTTATATACATCTGTAGCAGGGCTTCCAAAATTATTTTTAGCCAGCCGGACATTTTATATATTATCCCGATTTTAATCCCTTAAGACTAAATAAACAAAAGGCAATTATGGTATTAAATCAGTTGCCGAGTTGGCCATCCCAAATTTTGATTGACATTAAAAAAAAACAATATTAAACTCTCTTTGATTCAAATTCGAAGTTCTGACGTAAACTGTTAAATTGGCAGTGCATCATTCGAAGTGTGCAACATCAGCGTACTTATATCTGCCTTATACTCTTTATTTGTGCAAAATAATGTTGTCAAAAACTTTACTTTCGTTTTTATACCGGATGTTATCTTGACAATGGTAAAACATGGACCAGAGACGGATACGTAAATTCCGTGTACGTTTGCAAAGCGTGAATGAGTGGAAGTAGCTCTTTCTACGTTATTTCTTCAAGAAAATATTCGAAATAAACGTGAGATAAAGGTTTCAATGACAATTTAAGCATTTTTTGAAGAAATTAGGATGCATAATTAAATTTCACACCTGCGCACATGTACTAGTTCAAACAGAGACATGTCTCTAGGTTTAAACAACGTGGTTATGACGATTTTTCATTTTCACCTTTTTAATTTTTTCATCAAATCATATTTGTAAACGTATTTCAGATAATTTAAATCTTTTTGACTAAATTAATTAGATGCAAACCAATGAAATGTAAGAAAATAACTTTGAATAGACCTATCAATGTCCGGTTCAAAATTGTTTACCTGTCACCTGAACAGGTAAATTTCAGCTGTTTGACAACTAATTAGCCTTGATTAAAATGAGAAGGTATTAAAGTAGGGGTTGTTTTGATAGTACTTAATGATCATGTCATTTTTATGACCGGAAATGTGTGGCTGTTAAAGGCAAAACGTTGGGTCAAAAAGATCGCGAATTATGTTAAAATGACCGTCTCTTAAAGCCTTGAAAACTAAAAAGTAGATGACCGTTTCATGCTTTGCCCAGCCGGACTTTTACCGGACATTATACAAATGTCCGGCATATATGACCGTTTTATTTGGAAGCCTTGATCTGTAGTTTATATTATCTTAAGATTTCGATCATAGCTGATCCGCTTCAGATGAATATCGCCTCCCATCCATGGTCAGTCCATAATCTTGCCGGCAAAATGACGATCTATTTCACCAAAGTATTTTGAAAATTGCTAAAACTAGCTGGCCGACTGACTTCATAGCGAAGTCAAATCGCTATCAAAATCGGTATAAGGGAGACAACTTGTCAAGTTGTGTTCCACACGTTGCACAGGTAAACAAAAATGGCGACTGTCAGAAACGATCAGGGACTAATACTGTTGATGATTAAATGAAATAAATACAACAGCGACTTTGAACATCCTCGAATTTAACATTCAAAACTATTAAAACGGAAAACTGAGTGTCTGAGTTTAATATCATTTTACGATAATTTTCATCTGAGGATGTTGCATAATCACACAGACGATTTGTTTTATTTTTATTTATTACGAGTAGATTAGTTGTACTATTTGGTAGGATAAGGGTGGGAATTAACGGGTGATTTTTTTATGGATAAATTAATGTGACTGAAACATACATGTATGTACGACACATGGCCAGCTTGTGATCAGCAGTGGTTTTTTTTTTCACGACCAACTCGTTCATAAGGGAGATATCTTTCATTAAAAAAATGGAAAAAATAAGCTCTTTATCGGTTAATTAATGTGTGATTGACAGATATCTTCATTTATAGGCTTAAAATCTTATAGGAGAATCTCAATTTACAACTGACATGATGTCCTTGACATTCAATAATGTTTTACAAAATTATGACAAGTGGTGATATACATTAAATTGCCTATTCATTTAAAAGTCATCAGATAAACTGGGGTCATATTTTTCTGGACTTTTAAAAATAAATTTAGGCAGATGCACAACATGAGATTAATGCATGATAATATTACTAGGCTAGCAACAAATTTGATTTAAACTTAAATTCAAGTTGACAGTACAAATGGTATGAATAAATAACAACTATATTGTCTGAACTTTTTTATGAAAAATTTCCAATATATACATTTTGATCAATATATAAAAACACTGCATGTGTCATGGTAAACACAAGAAGCTGGTGAGGTAGCAGGAATACTGTATAGGGAGATTATCTCACGATACGGAGCACCTAGAGTTCTCATATCAGATCGCGGCAGGAATTTTACCTCAAACCTTGTTAAAGCATTATCTGAAATGTTTCAGAATACAAGGCACTTGACGAGCTCCTATCATCCGCAAACCAATGGATCTGTCGAAAGAATGAACTCCGTTATTCTCCAATCTATACGCAGTTATGCTAAAGATCAGCAAGACGACTGGGTTCATCTATAACCAGGAATCATGATGGCATACCGAGCCACTCCTGCAACTCAGTCAACTGATTTCTCACCGTTTTTCTTGTTGTTTGGACGAGAAATGTGTCTACCGATAGACACTTCATTAATACCGAAGGAACATTTAGCCCAAGATCATAGGATATTTTTAGGAAGAATTCTGCAAAATTTAGAAAGAACCAGAAAGATTGCGTCAGAGAATATAGAGATAGCCCAGGAGAGAAATAAACGCCAATACGACAAGACAGCACAGGAACCCGAGTTTAGACCTACCCAAAGAGTTTGGCTGTATTGTACAAAAGTTCCTGTAGGAAAGGCTCCAAAACTACATCGCAAATGGGTAGGTCCATATTATATAACACTTGTGAATAGATCAAACCACACATACAGAATCCGTAATTGTGCAAACAACAAAGAAGTGAAGTCACTAGTAACTGTGCATAGGTTGAAGCCATACTATGATCCTAACACTCGTCCAACTAATCCACCTCCAGAACATGAAAATGAAGAAGACGAGTTAGATCCAGACGAAATAGGTCAACAAGAAAACAATGACAGACAACAAAATCGAGGACAGCAAAATGGAGACAACAATAACAGAAAACAACAGAACAGACGACAAAGAAATGATGACAACATCGACAGAGGACAGCGAAATGATAACAACGACAGAGGACAGCGAAATGATGACAACAACGACAGACTACAACCAAACAGAGACCAGACAATTGAAGACAACAACAATCAGAACCAACCACAAAATCCACCTGTTGGCAACACCAAACCATCGTGTCAGGATTGTAAACGCGGAAATTGTACCCCATTTAAGGAAGAAAACATTGACCGTCTAATGGCTTCAAATCGAGGTAATGGTACACTATATTACAAAATAAAATTCAAAACAGGACAAACCGAGTGGCATTTTCCATGCAAAATTCCAACTAATATAGTGCGTCAATTTCATGCAGACAGAACTATGAGCGGGAAAAAGAGAAAAAGACCTCTCAATCAAAGTAAACATAATTTTTTTAATAAATCTGACAAACAAGGAAATGATGAAAATAAGGAATCTAGTGCCAATTCACAAAATGAATCTGTAAATGTGCTATCAACCAAAGACAACCCTTCTGTGGAATATTCGCAACCTGAAAAATTGTTAGCAGTGCGTCTAATAAATAAAAAGGCTTATTTTCTTATTCAAACTGGGATTATTCAAAAGTGGTATTCAATAACATCTGTTCGGAACCATGCTCACAATTTTATTAACTACTTTACAATAAAATTTGAGGAGAGATTGCTGCAAGAAAAATTGGACTTTATTCGAAAAAAGAACCAGGGGACATTGAAACAAGAGTTTAGTATCTGTGGTCAAGGATATGAAATACATGAGGCAAGAGTCGCCAATAATGGAAAAATGGAATTTTTGTTAAGTTGGATGAACCCAAATATGCCTCCAGAATGGCAGACTTTTGATGAAGTGCCGAATGGGTGCATTGACTCTTTCTTCAAAGAGTTAACTAGAGAGTTTGAAAGGGAAATAAATCCAAGTAGAACATGGTGATTTGTTCTAAACAATTTGTGACTCATCAGGACAGTGTTTGAAACTTGAAAAATTGTATTTTAAAAACATGTAAATCTTTTCAGTTTTTCTAAAACATTTTTTTTTGGGGGGTAGGTAGTTCTAGGAATTAGTGTGAGTGCACGCATACTATTTCTTATTACTACATCTTTTGTTTTTAATTAAAGTGTCTCGTTTAATTTTTGGTTAACACAAAAATATACAGGTTGCATTGGGAGAAGCTAGCTAGCTGACAATTATTGTACATATCTTTTTCTTACTGGCGCCAGGTTATAGTTTGTACAGAGT